AGATGCAGGCATCATCTGAGTCTATTATATAATTTTCTGCAGGTATAGTCCTTTTCAAGTTGGGGTGAGTCCTGGGGTCGTGAACTTCTTTACCCACATTGAGTCCCCAGGCTAGAAAGGATGTACAGAGTCCGAGGTGGCACTGGCAGGGCATCTCGAACAAGCTTATGGGTGGCTTGTAATTTCTGTAAGAGATCACGTCCAAGTAAGGGGTACAAGCATTCTGGCATGACTGGAAACGAATGAGTTACCGTGTTCTTTCTGAGGTCCATAGTCCTCTTTGATGTCCAAGGAAAAAGGCAGTTTGTCCGGTGGCTCTTAGAATTGGTGCCTTCTTAGATGTTACTGGTCCCATTGGCTCTGTCAAGACTGAATAGGGTGCTCCAGAATACACCAGGAAACTAACCGGGGGTTTTATTTATTTATAAATATTTATATCTAAGTAGACATATAAACATTAAATAAACATCCACATTTATACCTTTTCAGTGAACAAGTACTTTTACAGTCTTGGGAATTTTGGCAGATAACAGGAACACTGCCCAAGTCCCCTGATGGGGGCCTGACAAGAACAGATGTGGAGGCCTTTGGCTGGGGGGTATAAAGTCTCCATTCTTCCTCTCTCGGCACTGCTAAGGACAGGATTATTGGAGAGGTCTCTTCACCTAGGCAAGGCTGTGCTGAGCCATCTGGGACAAAAGTGGTTTCTGCTTCCATTAGAGGGACCAGGTCAACTGGTAAATATAGGAATTCATGAACCACCTGATGGCCTCCTAACTGACATCGGCGGGGGCGGCAGAACAGTCTGCAGCTGTGGTACTGGTAGCTCCAATAATGGTGACTTCCTGTCCTGAGAGGGGAGCTACCTTCTAAGTAACTACCGAGTGCTCTGCCCCTGTATCAACCGTAAAGTTCACAGTCTGGCCCCAATTTTCATTTCGACCATCGGCTCATGGGGGCCCAATTGGAAAGAGCCCAGTCTGTCCTAGTCAGAGTCAGCTGTTGCCAGTCCGAGGAGGTCTGCCTCAGGTGGCTCTGGCCAATAGCGGCTGGGTGGTTTGGATGGCCTTTCCAGCTTCTTCTGGCCTGCTACTAAACCTTACTCTGTCCCTTCTTACACACGCAGAACTGGACCCAAGGCAGCGAGGTTTGAGCAATTTTAAAATTTCTTAACATACATTTTATCATTCATGTTGTAGGGAGGGACCGGGTTGGCTCCTCCTGAATAAAAGAACTAATCAAAATAAGGCTTATTTTCTAACTTCATTTGTCCCTGGGTGTGGACAACAAATGACACTAATCAGATTGACATAAATGATTTAACCTTTGTTTAGGGAGGCAAATGCAAAGCATTTACTCCCAAGTGTCATTGGTTTAGGGAAGATAGGATTTCTGCTCAGTTTCCCTATTCTACTTGTCCCAGCTTACTGGTCTATTATGCATTCAATTTTTTAAAAAATGTATTCTGGCACAGGAGAAAGTTGTTTTGTTGTACACAGGTAGTTTAACCCCTATATAACTGGGCTTGGACCTCTGCCCAGCAAACTGCAGTCTATAAGTTCAATATGCAGCCTCCGGTTCTTCTAACCCAATGAGGTTTCAGCCAGTCTCTGAGTCAGACTCCTCCTTTCTTGGAGAATTTCAAAGTCCTGATGGCTCCCAGGTCCAGGGAGAGTGCCCTTTTGTTAACCCTTAGGGCCCTGCTTTCTTGCCTTTCTACCAGTTCCCTTTGTGGCAGAGCAGCAACCAGGCCTTTTTCAAGGGAGTGCACTAGAAGGGGATATCAGCCCCTCCTGTGAGCCAGCTGCTCCGCCTAGGGTCTCCCAGGGGCCCGGCCAGAGCATCCTTCAGCAAATCCCAGAAGCCGCTGCCCTTTCGCAGTGGTATGGACTTAAGTAGGGGGTTCACTGGCTGTAGCCGGCAGCGAAGCGCTCGCTGGCTTCTGCCTGCAGCTGCTCGCGCCCACAAGCCCTGCCCCGCAGCACTCCCACAGCACGCGCCGCACCGCACCTTCAGCTCCAGCACCTCGGCATTCTCCAGCTTAGCCTGCACCTGCGCAGGTGCACCTCGGTGCCACCAGCAGCTACCGCAGCTCCTGTAGGCTCTCGTTGATCCGTGCGCCACTTCTTCTCCACCAGGGGCTTCCAGGCCTTGCGGGCAGCTCAGGCATTCAGCCCCCCCTTCTTTGACCTGGCTCTCAGGGGCTGAGTCTGCCTAGCAAAACAGTTCTAAATCACCAGGGTGACTGGGGATTTTAGCGTTGTTCCTCCTCTGCTTTTCTAGCGGGAGTTTAGTTGTTTTTAATGTATTAGAATTTTTATTCTTAGAAACCTTAATCCTTTAATGATAAAACTAAGAACAGGTATCGGTCTGATTCAGCACTGGAGGGGTTAAAAAGAATAAACCAGGGCAGAGAAAGACTGTGCTTAGTTACTTTTTGTGACCTTGAAGTTCATTGATAAGACCTGTTAGGTCTGCAGCCAGTAACTTAACTGCCAACACCCCCGCCCCCTTTCTCTCAGCCCAGGCCCGATTGCTTTTCCTCACAGAGTCGGCCTGGAAATATAACAGGTGCATAGGGAGGTTTCTTGCAGACAGAAAGCTTGGAGACTACCTGAAATTCAGTTACAGATGCTTTCAGAATCAGGATGGGAAGGGAAAGACCAATTGAAAACAGCAAGTTAAACAAAATACAGTCACAGGCAGTAAATCTCTCCGAGACCTGTGGAGCTGTAAGCCCTTTGTCTACCAAAGAGATAAGAAAACCATGAATAACAAGTTCTTTGAAATTTGCTACTTTGTTAATTTGCTAAGCAAACAGTTAACTTGAAAAGACTTCTCTCTAGCTTTTCTTACAAGCAATCTTGGAACCTAGCCAGCCTTTGTTAAACTTCTTTGGGTTGCAACCTTACACCTTAAATTAATCCTAGATTTTTAAAATTTTAACCTGATACAGCAAGATTATACCTCAGAGTAAAGCAATTAAAAGTTCTCTACTGTCTTCCCCTTAAAGCAGGGTTGTTTTTTTTTCCTTATGTGTACAAACAGATAGCACAAAGTAGCTTTCGCTTTACACAGACCAGTTCCAGTCCCCCTTCTCTTGTAGTAAATTGGCTAGTCCCACACAAACTTTGTCCCGACCCCATGATGATCGGTGATGAGAGACAGACAAGGGAGGGGGTGACCTGTTTTCACAGATCCTTTCTCAGATGCCCGCCTGACCAAAGTTGTGAAGCCACACAAAGGAGAGGAGAGGGCAGGCTCCCTCCTACCACACTCACACACTTTGACCAGACATTCATTCAGCAAAGGCATTTAGCTACCACAATACACAGTTTTTCCCAATTCAATCCGAACCTTAAACTTTTAGCTGGCAAGTCAAATATTCAGCATTTCTTAAACAGTAACATTTTTAAGAATAAACTTCAAAAATGCAAGACATAAGTTTTTTATCATTTGAATTCAGGAAGCTTCAAGGTCCCAAGTTCCCAGCGGTTCTGGGAAACCACACCTGAGGCTGGCAAGCAGGTTTGGCCCAGCTCTTGATTTTAAAACGACCATAATGCTTAAAGGAGTAGTTTGAGTCTGTCCCATAATGTCCGCCCAGTAAGTCCACAGAAAACAGAGAGAAAAAAACACACACAAACACAGACAAATACAGTCTTCCAACTCTATGGAAGCAAAACCAAAACAACCTTCCGACTCCGTGGAAGCAAAACTACAAGCAAAACTACAGATTAGACGATGGCCATGCGCCAACTGGCAGGAGTGACCCGCCTCGTCTCAGATTGAGGGGTTTCTGCGCCCCTCCAGATGGAGGATTGGAGCGTCCCCTGACTCCTCCCGCCCGTGGCCCTCCCGTGCGTCCACTTAGACCGTATCAGGCATTACAGATTTCAGAAGTGAGCTCACACAGGACAGAACACACAGAACAGAATAGACAACACACAGACACTTACCGCGGTCAGGCAGACTCCCCGGAATGGGGTCCCTTGCGGATTTTGGGGATCCCGGACGCGCCCCCAAATGTTATGCCCAGAGTTCGGGGTCCCCAATAATCCACGACTAGGGAGCCTTTTCCGATGCAAAAGCAAAGGGTCTTTTATTCAAGCCCGGGACTTGGTCCCCCTCCTGCCTCCATTACTGGATGCAAGAGAGAGCCCTGAGTTCCAAGAGAACAAAGAATTTATAGGGCTTGGCGTTGGGGGGTGGGGGTACACTCTGACCACTGATTTGGTCGATTCCAGTTGGTTGAGTGAGGGCTGGGGGCTAGTGACGCAAGGGCTGCGTGCAGCTAGGGTCTGGTTACACAGAGACAGGGGGGTGGCTAGCATACTCTTGGCCTTGGGCTAGTTTTCCCCACTTTCCCATTGGCCGAGATAAGGGCAGGCTGAGTAACTGATACATTCTGCGGCTTTTTCTTGGAAGAGGGGTTAAGGACACAGCTATCAGTCCTGTTCTGTCCTTTCAATCCACACCAGGTTCAAGTTGTTTGCCATCTCAATCACAGCAATCTTTGAGCTATAACCTCATGATGGCTACAAAGTCACTAGGTGATAGGGATTTTGTAGCTCTGTTGATGATAATCTCATGGGACCATTGTATATGAGATCTGTCATTGACTGAAACATCTTTATGTGGCACATGACTATATTTAAAATTTCAAATACACATCTCCATATTGTATTGCATGTCGTTTTAACCCCTAGAGTGCCAGGGAGCGTGATCGCGCTCCTCCCGTCTTTCGCCAAAAGTGCCCCGTGCTCCTCCTGCAGTGTCACTATTAGATGCTAGTAGTTCACTCTTTATGTGAGAAAAAAATTTAAAAACCTTAACTCAAAATGCCTTGGCAATTTTAGCATAGTTCCTAGCACTCAAAGGGTTAAAGTAATTTTTGTTAGAGAATGCTTTTTTTTGGGAAAAATAATTTTTGGAATATTATGGTAATTGGTTTCAGATATCTAAAATATACTGTTCTTTTATATTTTCCATAATTTTAGCTTTTGCCTGTGATGACAGAGCAACTACAGTGGATGCCATTTGTGAATGCCAAACTTCATGAGCCTTTTGTAAAATTTATATATTGGTCTCTACGGCAACTAGAAGCTGGAACACTGGTAATTTATTAATAGGAACCTATTTTCAACTACTACTCTGTTTGGCATTATTTTTCTTGATCTTGTTCTTTCACTATTTTTGCATGTATTTTGTTTATATTTCAGGACTTCTCCTTGCTTCCCTTGCCTCATTTACTACTTTCTCTTCTTTCTCCTTTCATATGTCTTATTTCTCAATGCCATAGATGTGGCTCAATATGTAATGTTTTGTTTTGAATTTCAGAATTGTATAAATAAGGAGTTAAAATCAACTGTCATTCACCCATTATTTAATTTATAATTTTTTATATTCTACTGAAGCTAATAGAAGTTAATGATTTCTTGTGCTTATGCTAGTAAATACCCCCTAGCTAAATGGGATGATAAATATTAGTATAACCTAATCAAAGAAGAAATTTTTTCCAGCATCTTATAAAATGAATGGTGTGTTACCTACTCATGTAAAGGTCATTTAGTTCAAATTAATACAGGTATATATATAATCATTAGTGCAAACTGTAGTAGGTTTGTAAATCCCCCCCCCCCCCAGTTACTATAAATAAATATTGTTATAGCTTTCATTTAGTTAAAAAAGGAGAACAGATTTGTGCTCAAGTAGTTCAATCTTGGTTGTGTGGAATTGAAGAAGCATACCGCTAAACCACTCAGTGCAGTATTGATGATTAAATAGCATTAACCATCAGTGATTGAGTTGTGTGATAATTAAATAATGTGATGGTTAAGGAAAAATATTTTTTTCTGAGGTTGTATCCTAGATATTTTGCCACAGTGCTGCACATGAGTAGGTACATGAGTGTTTATGCTAGTGTACACACACACACACACACACAATATAACTTTTAATTTATTGGTCTTAACTATGTGTCTTATCAAACAAAGGTATATAAATGACCAGATCTGTAAATGTCACTGTCTGCTTTTTACAATATGTTTGATAACAGTTGCTGTTTTGTATAACAGTTAATGAAAATGCGTAGCTGAATGCTTGCTTTCAGCAACAAAAGGTTAGACTTACAGAGTTGAATGAAACTGTATCTTCCAAATATGATTCTTATTTTCCTTCATATAATTTATAGTTTATTTTTGTTGTCTTCAAATATACATTCAGTATCCCAGTCTGTGTGCTATTATAGAGAGTACTATGAGCCTGCATCTACTTTTCTAGTGAAAAATAGTGTTTTTGCCACTCTGACATTCAATTATTTAACATCTGTTGATGAGTTTCTAATACTTTAGTTTTAAGTTATCTAAGTGCATGTATTTTTTTTAAATTAACTTTTTATTTGAGATAATTGTAGATTCACTTATAAGAAATAATAGATCACTTTTATCCTTTACCCAGTTTCTCCCAATAGTAGAACTAGTACCAATATCACAACCATGCTTTTGCCATTGATATAGTCAAGTTAACAGAACAGTTTCATCTACATAAGATTTCTCATTTTTTAAAAAAAGCACTTTATTTGTTAGAGCAGAGTTAGGTTCACAGCAAAATTGAGCTCAGAGATTTCCCATATGGGCCCTGCTCCTGTACAAATGCAGCCTTGACCACTGAAGACATCTAGCACCAAAGTGGGACATTGGTTATCATCTATGATTGACACATCATTATTACCCACAGTCCACAGTTTATATTAGGGTTCACTCTTGGTGTTTTACACTCTGGGTTTTGATAAATAATATAATGGCATGTAGCCATCACTTTTGTATTATGCAAAATGATTTGATACTGAAAATTTGTTCTAAAAATTCTCTGTGCTCTGCCTATTCATGCTTCCCTCATCCTAACTCTTGGACACCACTAATCCTTTTACTGTCTTTACAGTTTTCCCTTTTACAAAATGTCATGTAGTTGCAATCATATAATATATATATCTCCTTTTCAAATTGGCTTCTTTCATTTATTGATATGCATTTAGGGTTCCTTCATGTCTTTTCCTGGTTTGATAGCTCATTTCTCTTTAGATTTGAATAACATTTCATTTCTGCATGTACCACAGTGTATTTGTCCATTCACTTAAGGGCATCTTGATTATTTCTAAGTTTCGGCAAGTATGAATGAAGATGCTATAAACATTCATGTGTGGGCTTTTGTGTGGACATGTTTTTAACTCCTTTGGGTAAATACCAAGGAGCACAATTTTTGGATACTATGGCAGGAGTAGTTTTAGTTGTTTAAGAAATTGAAACTGCTTTCCAAAGTAGCTGTATCATTTTGCATTTCCAGCAGAAATGGCAGAGTTTCTGTTGCTTCACATCCTCATCAACATTTGGTGGTGTAGTATTTTGGATTTTGGCCATTCTAATTGATGTGTAGTGGTATCTCATTATTACTTAACTATGCAGTATCCTAATGACATACACTGTTATGAATCTTTCCATATGCTTATTTGCTACCTGCATGTTTACTTTGGTGACATGTCCAGGCCCTTTCCCCTCCCTTTTTTAAAATCTTCACCTGAGGATATGTTTTAGAGAGGAGGAGAGGAGGAAGAGAGAGAGAGAGAGAGAGAGAGAGAGAGAGAGAGAGAGAGAGAGAGAGAGAGAGAGAGAAAGAGAAATCTATCTGTTGTCTCCCATATGTGCCCTGATTGGGGATGGATCTAGTTATGTGCCCTGATCAGGAATTGAACCTGCAACCTTTTTGGTGTACAGGACAACACTCCAACCAACTAAGTCACCCAGCCAGGACTCCCCATTTATTAATTGGGTTGTTTGTCTTCTTGTTTTGTTTTTAGAATTTTTTTAATATAATTTTTTCTGTGTTTAATTTAAAAATTTTTTTTAAATTATAATATGTATTTAACACTATTTTTGTATTCAGGTGTATAGCACAATGGATAACTAGCCATATAGGTTACACAGTGTTTCCTCTGATAATTCAAGTGCCCACTTGCCATCTTATATAGTTATTACAATATTATTGACTATATTCCCTATTTGTTACCTTACATTTCCGTGCCTATATTGTAACTATCAATTAGTACTTTTTAATACCTTAACCTTTTTTCGCCCTGCCCCACAATACTCCTTCCCTCTAGCATTCATCAGCATGTTTTCTGTATCTATAAGACTGTTTCTATTTTGTTTTTTATTTTATTATTTAGATTCCACATATAAATGATATATGATTTTTGTCTTTCTCTTAGCATAATACTTCTGTGTTCATCCATGCTATCGTATTCATTCATTCTTTTCTATGGCCAAGTAATATTCCATTTTATATATGTACCACAGCTTTATTTTCTACTCGTCTATTGATGGGTATTTGGATTGCCTCCATATCTTGGTTATTGTAAATAATTCTGTAATGAACATAGGGTTGCATATGTTCTTTTGAATTTGTGTTTTGGGTTCTTTGGATATATACTCAGAAGTGGAATCACTGGGTCATAAGGCAGTTCCATTTTTAATTTTTTGAGGAAACTCCATACTGTTTTTATAGTGGTTGTAACAATCTGCATTCCCACTAAGGGTGACCGAGGGTTCCCCTTTCTCCACATGCTCGCCAACACCTCTCATTTGTAGGTTTATTGATGCTAGCCATTCTCACAGGTGATATCTCATTGTGGTTTTAATTTACACTTCTTCATGATGAGTGACACTGAGCATCTTTTTATATTAACCATCAGTATGTCCTCTTTGGAGAATATGTATTCAGGTGTGTGCCCATTTTTTAATTGGGTGGTTTATTTTTTTGGTGTTGAGTTATAAATTAACCCCTTATTAGTTGTATCATCTCTTTACCTTTAGTCTGTGTGTGTCTTAGGTTCTGCGGGGGACCTTTTATAGACAGCATGTATATGGGTCTTGTTTTCTGATTCATAGACTATGTTTTGGAGAACAGTCCTTTATCAGTTGTGTCTTTTCCAAATATTTTCTCTTTCTAATCAGTGCCTTATCTTCTCATTCTCCTGATATTATCTCTCATAGAGTAGAAGGTTTTAAATTTTTTAAAAAAATATTTTTATTGATTTCAGATAGGAAGGGAGAGGGAATCACTGATCAGCTGCCTCCTGCACACCCCCTACTGGGGACCAAGCCTGTAACCCAAGCATGTGCCCTTGACTGGAATTGAACCTGGGACCCCTCAGTCTGCAGGCCGACGCTCCATCCACTGAGCCAAACCAGTGAGGACTAGAAGGTTTTAATTTAAATGAATTCCAGCTTATCACAGATCATGCCTTTGACATATCAAAAAAGTGATCAGTGCCCGGCTGGTGTGGCTCAGTGGTTGAGCATTGACCTATGAACCAGGAAGTCACAGCTAAATTCCCAGTCAGGGCACATGCCTGGGTTGCAAGCTCTATCCCCAATAGAGGGCTTGCAGGAGGCAGCCGATGATGGATGTTTCTCTCTCACCGATGTTTCTTTATCTCC